AACTGATCAAGGAAATGTGGTCTATACAGATGATGGAATATTATTCCTTCATTAAAAAATAGAAAAATTGGCCCTCGCTGGTTTGGCTCAGCAGTTGCAGCGTCGGCCTGCAGTCCAGAGAGATCCGGGTTTGGTTTCCGCTAAGGGCGTGTACCTCGGTTGCAGTTTGTACCGGCCCTGGTGGTCATGCAGGTGGCAGCCACTCGATGTGTCCCTTTCATGTCGATGTTCTTCTCTCTCTCTCTCCCTCCCACTCTATCTGAGCCAAACTGGCCAGGGCTTTAAATGAATTATTGGGTTTACATTGGTTAATAAAATTCTATAGGTTTCTGGTGTACAATTCTATAATATATCATTTGTGTGTTCACCACCTCAAGTTATATACCCTTTGTCTCTCCATCATCATTTATTCCCCCTTTATCCTTTCCAGCCTCCCTCGAATCCCATATCCTTCTGGTAATGATACTGTTGTCCGTCTATGAGGATATTTTTTTTGCCTAATTCTTTACCTTTTTTTACCCAGTTTCCCTACCCCCTCTCCTCTGACAGCTATGAGTCTGTTTCTATTTTGTTTGTTAGTATATTTTGTTCATTAAATTCCACATATAAGTGAAATCTTATGGTATTTGTTTATCTCTGGTTGACTTATTTCACTTAGAATAATATTCTCCAGGTCCATCCAAGCTGTCACAAAAGGGAAGATTTCCTTCTTTTTTATGGCTGAGTAGTATTCCATTGTGTATATGTACCATAGCTTTATTTATTTATTTTTTTATTCCTCACCCAAGGATATTTTTCTACTTATTATCAGATAGAGTGGGAGGGAAGGAGAGAGTGAGATAGAGAGAAACATTGATGTGATAGAGCCACATCGACTGGTTATCTCCTGCACGACCCGACCAGAGCTGGGGACGAACCACAACTGAGGTACATGCCCAGACTGGAATTGAACCCCTGACTCATTGGTCCTCAGGCTGATGCTCTAATCACTGAGCTAAACTGGCCAGGTCTTTACCATAGCCTTTTTATACACTCAACTACTGATGAGCACTCAGGTTGCTTCCAAATCTCGGCTATTGAAAATAACACTGAAATTAACATAAAGGTGCATATAGTTTTTCGAATCAGTGTGTTGGGTTTCTTCTGATAAATTCACAAAAGTAGAATCTTGGGTCATAAGGCAGTTCCATTTTTAATTTTTGAGGTAACTCCATACTGTGTATTTCCACCAACAGTGCATGAGGGTTCCCTTTTCTCCACATACTTACCAAAATTTGTTGTTTGTTGATTTATTGATGACAGCCATTCTGATAAGAGTGAGGTAATATCTCATTGTGGTTTTAATTTGAATTTCTCTAATAACTACTGACCTTTCATAGGTCTATTGACTATATGTCTGTCCTCTGGAGAAGTATCTATTTGGTTCCTTTGCCCTTTTGTTTTTTTTCCATTATCATTTATCCCATGTCCTCTTCCACCTAGGCTAGTGGTTTTTTAAAAACTTTTTTTTCTTTAATGATTTTAGAGAGAGAGAAAGTGAAAGGAGAGAGAGATAGAAACATTGATGAAAGAGAACATTGATTGGCCGACTCCTGCATGCCCTACAGTGGGGATCAGTTCCACAGCCTGGGCGTGAGCCCTGACCGGGAATTGAACCAGTGACCTCTTGGCGCATACATGGGTCGAGCTCAACTACTGAGCCACACTGGCCTGGCTGGGCTAGTGGTTTTTATTTTTATTTATCTATTTTATCTTTCTCCATTTTTAAATTGGATTGTTTGATTTTTGGTGTTCAGTTTTATAAGTTCTTTATAAATTTTGGATATTAACCCCTTATCAGATATATCAAAGAATACGTTATCTTGTTCAGTGGGTTTTTTCATTTTGTTGATGTTTTTCTTTGCTGTGCAAAAATTTCTAAGTATAATATAGTCTCATTTGTTTATTTTTCTTTTGTTTCCCTTGACCGAGGAGATATATCAGGAAATGTATTGCTATAAAAAATGTCTGAGATATTACTCCCTATTTTCTCTAGGATTTTTGTGGTTTCGATTCTTACATTTAAGTCTTTAATCCATTTTTAGTTATTCTTATGTATGGTGTAAGAATGTAGTCTAGTTTCATTTTTGTTGTATGTATCGGTCCCATTTCCCCAACACAATTTATTGAATAGACTATATTTACCCCATCGTACCCCATTGTATGTTTTTGCTTCCTTTGTCAAATATTAATTTACCATAAAGATATGGGTTTATTTTTTTTGCTCTCTATTCTGTTCCACAGAAGATTTTCATTATGTTTTTAAATCACAATAGTCTGGCCGGTGTGGCTCTGTGGTTGAGCGTCAACCCATGCACCAAGAGGTCGCTGGTACGATTCCTGGTCAGGGCACATGCCCAGGTTGTGGGCCTGATCCCCAGGGTGGGGCATGCAGGAGGCAGCCAATCCGATGTTTCTATCTCTCTCTCCCTCTCCCTTTCTCTCTCTGTAAAGTCAATAAAGGAAAAAAAAATTTTTTTTAATCACAATAAATAAATATTAATTAATTAAATATTAAAAAACAGTGAGAAACAAAAGGAATACATTTTGTATGGGGACCACTGATAAAAATTATGGTTGCCCTGGCCGGTTTGGCTCAGCTTGGTGCTTCAGCCTGCAGATCAAAGAGTCACGAGTTCAATTCTGGTCAAGGGCATGTACCTTGGTTGCAGTTTGGTCCCTGGCCCTGGTCGGGGTAATGCGGGAAGCCGCCAATCGATGTGTCTCTCTCACCTCTCTCTCTCTCTCTCCCTCTCTCTCTCTCTCTCTCTCTCTCTCTTCCCCTTCTTCACCTTCCACTCTGTCTGAAGATAAATGGGGGAAAAAATCCTAGGGTGAGGATTAAAAAGAAAAAGAAATTATGGTTGACCTGTTATCACTGCAAGTTAGGGTACACTGGAACATTGTGAAAAGTGTGTAAAGGAAAACCATTCCTAAAATTTTATATCCAGTGAACATATTCTTCAAAAGTTTAGGTAAAATAAAAAAACATTTTCAGATAAAGATAAATCACTAATATAACATCACTAGAAGCTGGAGTGTTTTATGTCTTCAGTGTTCAGAAAATTCCAGTGTTGTTATGATGAGCACAGATGTCACACAAAAGTGCTTAGATCAGCACCGAGCCTCTTGCTTTTAATGTGATGCATCAGCTTGGATAATTCTGTGTTTTCCTACTATTGGTGCATCCCCAGGGTCTACCTTCCCTGATAATTAATATCTGTGTTACACCAGTTCATGAATGATGTGAAAATTTTGTTGTTTAGCTTTATTATGATGTTAATAAATTAACACACTATTCTATTCTCAATTTTCTGTTCGAGGAAGACCAAAAGTTCATTACCTTAGCTATACATTGGATAGCAATGCAAAATCCTTTCCTCTCACTTTCTGAATGCTTAGGACAGTGCAGTGTATTACAAGAGAAAACTGCGTGTGAAGTCATCCTCCTGAACATTTCTGAAGTTCTAATTTTCTGGAACTGCACAAAACATTAGTACATACCATCCATTGTCAGTGGGAGGGTGATTTTCAATATGTTATATCCTTCATTAAATTGCATAAAATGTCCTATAATTTGGTATAAGGAAAATACCTGCTATTAACAATAACATCCTCCTCACACACTATAGAAAATTATCCAGAGTAGTCTTGTCTAAGTTGTGTTCTTACTACAACCTGAAAGAAGTCAATGGCATGATTTTGTCCATTTAGAAAAAAGTTATTTTCAATATGTATAACTTTAATCTAGTTTACAGAACGTAAATGTTATGTGTGATAAAATTTCATAAATTATATAAATTTTGCAGATTTTTCCCTGATTGACCTAAGGTTAAACTGTTTTTGCCATATAGACTAATAACTATTTTTTTTCTGATTATCATGGTGTTAAATTCTCTTACTATTGTAATATGACAAGGTACTTATTAAATTCTCTTGCTCTGTATTCAATGGACACAGTTTAAATAAGGATGAATATATGACTAGAAAAAAATAAATGGCACGACTTGAATAGTGGGTAGCAGGTATTCTTTATTTTTATGAATATTTCCTCACTAACCATATACAGTAAAATATATTGATGAGCCAATGAAATAAGCTACACAAAGAAACTCAAGTGCTACCTGGTATCCCTTACATGTGGAATAAAAAAAATAAAAAAAGGTCAAACTCAAGGAAACAAGAGTAGAATGGTGGTTGCCAGGGTGGGATGTGGAGCAAACAGAGGGAAGTTTGGGGGTTTGGGGACAGGGAACAAACTTTCCGTTCTAAGATGAATATGTTCTGAGGATCTAATGGAGATCATGGTGACTATTGTCGATAACACTGTATTGTATCCTTGAAATTTGCTAAGAGAGTAGTTCATAAGCATTCTAACAAAAAATATAGGTAAGTATGTTAGGTGAAGGATATGTTGATTAACTTGATTGTGGGAATTCTTTCACAATGTACTCATATAATCAAGTATCGCATTGCACACTTGATATATGTTACAACTTTGTAAATTAAAATTTGGTAAACCTGGAGTGACAAAAGGAAGGGTAATAAAAAAAGAGGAAAAAAAATTATAGTGCCCATAATACCACGTGTTGGCAAAACTGGCAAACTATGCCCTTGGCAACAATCCAGTGTGAGATAGGAGTCCAGCAGAGGCGTCAGGGCAGCATGCAGCTGAGTAAAGAGTATCACTGAGATCCAGACGTGCAGGAAAGAGGACAAGTCGGGGTTCAGCACAGGAGGGGCTGCGCATGCCAGCACTGCTGGACACAAAGGGAGATCCAGGAGTGATCTGGGAGCAGGGACTGTCTGTCCTGTTCACCATTCACACTGCTTCCCCAGAGCCCAAATAACATGAATTGCTTCTCTGCTGGTCATCATTTATTTTTCTCTCTCCATCCATTCACAAGTTCCTCCCGCTCTATGACAAACCTACCCAAAACTGTCTCGTATTCAGGACTGCTTCACAGAGGGACACATTGCCACTGGTTCCAGTCACAGGGCATGGGAATGAAATGCAGATTGTGACTGGTTTTCTGTATGATGTTGTTGGCTTTGTCTGTATGGTTATATAAGGGAAAGTTGAATTTCTCCAGAGCCTGAGTAGAGGCAAACAAGATAATAGATATGAAACCGTGGCCCCTGTATTTAGGTAAAGTGGCCCCCATTCGCATCTCTCCTGTCTGGTCCAGCAGGCCCCAACTCACAGGGGTCCCCTCGGGCCCCAGGATGCAGAAGGAGTAGAAGTTTTGGATACAGCGCTCAATGTACCTCTGGCTTCTCTCATTGCCACCAAAATGCCAGAACTTATTCACCAGGGCAGCATGGGTAACATCGAGAGAGGAGAGTTTAAACAGCTCTTGGTTCCTGTTAGAAGCAAGAAAGAACAACACATAATACCACACACACTGTGGAGTATCATATTTGTTCACCCTTAAATTATCTTTAGACAATGCTTATAAGAGCAGGGATAGCGGTACAGACACTGCAGCCAGAACACCTGGGTGCATAATCTGACTATGTTGTGAGACCTTGAACAGGTAATGTACTGTCTCTCTTTCTCCATTTTTTCTTAAGAGCACACTTGGACAGATGAAGATGGTGGTGGAGTGAATGGAAGCTACCCAGACTGTCTCCCAGGACCAAACTGGAATTGCAACTGAAATGAAGACAAATCATCAGGAAAAAACAGCTGAAGAGCAGCTGGAGATAGCCGGTACAACCAGGGACAGAGAGAGGACACCAAAATCAAGCCTGGTAGTAACTGCAGAGGCACGTGGGGGCAGCCTGGGAGCCCACGGACAGCAGCAGACAGCTGTATTAGCAGTGTGTGCTTTCCTCTGAGAATGCGGGGTTTTTAAAAAGCACCAAATCAGCTACAGCCATTCACCTTGGGCTCCAGCAAAGGGTGGGCAGACTGGACTGGAACTGTGTGGAGAGAATCTGGGGCTCCTGACTCAGGAGAGAGGTGCAGGGTTGGACACGTTGAGTACTGTACTGAATCAGTCCTTACAGGACTGAAGCCATATTATTCAAAGAGCCCCTTCCCAGAGCCACAGGGAGAAGCAATGTCCCCTCCCACAGAAATTCAACACCACCAGGCCAGGCCAGAGAAATGAAAATTGAGGCTTATTAACATCTAGAGTCTGATAGCAAGCAAGTACCCCACCCGCTGGAAATCCTTACAGCTGAGAAATTTATTATTCATTTGAGGGCTACAATTGAGGCTCATCAAATAACTGAGACTAACAGCCTCCAGGAAAAAAACTAGAGGATAACTGAACCTTTCCTGGGCTTGCAAATCTACCCAGGAAAGTAAGACTTGACAGTGGTGTTTAACGTGGGTCCTGCCACACTCATCCAAGTCCAGTAGAGGGAGCCACAACCAATGGAACACCAACACCCACAGAGAAAAATTTTGCAGGCTCCAAAAGCCATTGAGACAGGCAAAATGGTGAAACAAAGTAAAAATTCCCAAATAAAAGAACAAGATAATTTGACAGAAGAAATAAATGAAATGAAATTGAGTAAGATATCAGAGGGAGAGTTCAGAGTAATAATCATGAGGAAGCTAAACAACATGAGTAAAGTCATAGAAACATTGAAAACTAAACAATTAGAAATGAATGACATAGCAAAAATAAAGAACACATTGGAAAAATAACCAGCAGAGTAGAGGAAGCCAAGGACCAGATTAGTGAATTAGAAGACAGGGTAGAAAAAAATCACGCAATCAGAGAACCAGGAATAAAAAACAGGAAGACAGCCTAAGAAAACTGTGGGACAACATGTATAACAACATCCACATAATAAAAGTGCCAGAAAAAAAAAAAAATGAACAGGGGTTAGACAATATATATGAAGACATACTGACAGCCCGGCTGGTGTGGCTCATTGGTTGAGTGTCGACCCATGCACCAAGAGGTCACTGGTTCGATTCCAGGTCAGGGGATATGCCCAGGTTGTAAGCCAAGTCCCCAGTGGGGGGCATGCAGGAGGCGGCCAATCAATGTTCTCTCTCACTGATGTTTCTATCTCTTTCTCCCTCTCCCTTCCTCTCTCTCTAAAAATCAATGAAGAAAAAAAATTTAAAAAAAAATAGTGACAGAAAACTTTCCTAGCTGGTGCAGAAAAAAGGCATACAAGTTCAAGAAGCACTGAAAGCCCCAAGTAAGAAGAACCCAAACAGGTCCACACCCAGCCACATAATTAAAATGTCAAAAAATAAAGACAAAGAGAGAATCCTAAAGGCAGCAGAGATAAGCAACAGGCTACCTACAAAGGAACCCACATAAAGCTATCAGCTGACTTTTAAACAGAAACACTACAGGCCAGAAGAAGATGGCATGAAATAGTCAAGTAAATGAAAAACAAAGATTTGAATCCATTACTACTCTATCCAGCAAGGCTATCATTCAAAATAGAAGGTGAAATAAAGAGCTTCCCAGACAAAAAAAAAGGCTAAGGGACTATATTAGCACCAAACCAGCCCTCCAAGAAATGTTCAAAGGACTGCTGTAATAAGCAGAAGAAATATAGAAAGAAACATACCATAATAAATAAAAATGGCAATAAATAGGTACATATCAATAATAACCTTAAGTGTAAATGGATTAAATGTTCCAATCAAAAGATACAGAGTAGCTGAATGAATAAGAAAGCATGACTCATATATATGTTGTTTACAAGAGACTCACCTCAAAACAAAAGACTCACATAGGTTAAAAGTGAAGGGATGGGAAAAAATTTTTTCCAAGCAAACGGAAATGAAAAGAAAGCTGAGGTAGCAATACTCATATCTGATGAACTAGACGTCAAAATGAAGGCCATAAAAAGAGACAAAAAAGGCCACTACATAATATTGAAAGGATCTATCCAACAGGAAGATATGACCTTGGTAAACATATATGCACCTAACATAGGAGCACCAAAATACATTTTAAAACTTCTGGAGGACTTCAATGAAGAAATTGACAACAATACAATCATAGCAGGGGACTTTGACACCCCGCTGACATCACTGGATAGATCCTCTAGACAAAAAATTAACAAGGAAACAGAGACTCCAAATGACATACCAGATCAAATGGATTTAATAGATATCTACAGAAAATTACACCCCAAAACTGCAGGATTCACATTCTTCTCAACTGCACATGGGACATTCTCAAAGATAGACTACAAACTTAGTTTTTAGGACACAAATTAAGTCTCTACAAGTTGAAGAAGATTGAAATCATATCAAGCATCTTCTCAGAGTGCAATGGCATGAAACTAGAAATCAATTACAATAAAACACTCAAAAACAGTCAAACATATGGAGACTGAATAGCATGTTATTAAACAACAAATGGGTTACCAAGCATCTTCTCAGATTGCAATGGCATGAAACTAGAAATCATTTACAATGAAACACTCAAAAACAGTCAAACATATGGAGACTGAATAGCATGTTATTAAACAACAAATGGGTTACCAAGGAGATCAAGGAAGAAATTAAAAACTTTTTGGAAACCAATGAAAATGAACACACAACAACATAAAATCTATGGGATGCAGTAAAAGCAGTCCTGAGAGGAAAGTTCATAGCACTACAGGCCTACCTCAAGAAATAGGAAAAATTTCAAATTGACTTTCTAAGCTCACAATTTGAAGAACTAGAAAGTAAACAAAAAGAAAAACCCAGAGCAAGTAGAAGGAAAGAAATAGTAAAGGTCAGAGCAAAAATAAATGACATAGAAACTAAAAAAAAAAAAAAAAAAAAATTCAAAAGATCAATGAAACAAAGATCTGGTTCTTTAAAAAGATAAACAAGATCAATGGACCCTTAGACAGACTCACCAAGAAACAAAAAGAGAGGACCCAAATAAAATCAGAAACGTAAAAGGAGAAGTAACAACTGACACCACAGAAATACAAAGGATCATTAAAAAATACTGTGAAAAATTATTCACCAACAAACTGAACAATCTAGGACAAATGGGCAAATTTCTAGAAACACACAGTCTCCCAAAACTGAACCAGAAAGAGATAGAAAACTTCAATAGACCAGTAACAACTAAGGAAATTGAATATGTAATCAAGAAACTCCCAGCAAACAAAAGCCCAGGCCCAGATGGCTTCAAGGGGGAGTTTTACTGAACATTCAAAAATATTCAAAGATGATCTAACACGCATTCTCCTCAAATTATTCCAAAAAATTCAAGAAGAAGAAAGACTTCCAAACTTATTTTATGAGGCCAGCATAATTATAATTCCAAAACCAGATAAAGACACTACAAAGAAAGAAAACGACACGCCAATATCCCTGATGAATGCAGATACCAAAATCCTTAACAAAACATTAGCAAATCAGATCCAGCAATACATCAAAAAAATTATTCACCATGACCAAGTGGGATTCATCCCAGGGATGCAAGCCTGGTACAATATTCACAAATCAATCAATATGATACACCACATAAACAAAATGTAAGACAAAAACCATATGATCATAACAATAGACACTGAAAATGCATTAGACAAAATCCAGCACCCATTTCTCACTTAAAAAAACGTTCAGCAATGTGGGAAGAGAGGGATTATATCTCAACATACATAATAAAGGCTATATATGAAAAACCTACAGTCAATATCATGGGCAAAAACTGAAAACATATCCCTTATGAACAGGAAAAAGACAGGAATGTCCACTTTCACCACTCTTATTTATCATAGTACTGGAAGTCTTAGCCACAGCAATCAGACAAGAAGTAAAATAAGGGGATCCAAATTGGAAAGGAGGAAGTGAAACTGTCATTATTCGCAGATGACATGATACTGTACATAGAAAACCCTAAAGACTCCATCAAAAAATCTACTAGAACTAATAAAAGAATTTAGCAAAGTTGCAGAATACAAAATTAACATCAAGAAATCGACGGCATTGTTGTACACCAATAATAAACTCACAGAAAAAGAAAATTTTTAAAAAATTTCATTTACCAATGCAGCAAAAAATCTAAGATACCTAGGAATAAACTTAACCAAAGAAGTAAAGGACCTGTTCTGAGAAAACTATAGGACATTGAAAAAGAAATAGAGAAAGAAATAAAAAAGTGGAAGCATATAGCTTCTTCATGGATCAGAAGAATTAACATCATTAAAATGTCCATACTACCCAAAGCAATCTATAGATTCAATGCAATTCCCATTAAAATACCAAGGACATATTTCATGGAAGTAAACTAAACACTCCAAAAGTTTTTATGGAACCAAAATAGACCCTGAATGACCACAGCAATCTTGAAAAAGAAGAACAAAGTAGGAGACATCACAATCCTGGATATCAGGTTATACTACAAAGCCACTGTATTCAAAACAGCCTTGTACTGGCACAAGAACAGGCATAGTGATCAGTGGAACAGAACAGAGAACCCAGAAATTGACCCAAGATATTATGCTCAATTAATATTCAAAAAGGAGGCAAGAACATACAATGGAGTAAAGATAGCCTCTTTAATAAATGGTATTGGACCCTAGACGGTTTTGCTCAGTGGTTAGAGCATCAGCTTGAGATCCAGAGAGACCTGGGTTTGGTTCCCACTAAGGAAACATACCTTGGTTGCAGTTTGTCCCCGGCCCTAGTTGGGTCTTGTGGGTGGCAACCATTCAATGTGTCCCTTTCACGTCGATGTTTCTCTCTCTCTCCCTCCCACTCTATCTGAACAAAATATGGAAAAATGTCCTTAGGTGAAGATTAAAAAAGAAATAGTGTTGGGAAAGTTGGGCAGCTAAATGCCAAAAAATGAAGCTAGACCACCAACTTACACCATACACAAGAATAAACTCAAAATGGATAAGAGACTTAAATGTGATTCATGAGCCCTGGCCAGTTTGGCTCAGCGGTTAGAGCATCAGCCTGCGGTCCAGGGAGACCCGGGTTCGGTTCCCGCTAAGGGCATGTACCTGGTTGCAGTTTGTCCCCGGCCCTGGTTGGTCGTGCGGGTGGCAGCCACTCGATGTGTCCCTTTCACATAGATGTCTCTCTCTCTCTCTCTCTCTCTCTCTCTCTCTCTCTCTCTCTTCCCCTCTCTCCCTCCCACTCTATCTGAACAAAAAAATGAAAAAATGTCCTTGGATGAGGATTAAAAAAAAAAAATGTGATTCATGAATCCATAAAAATCCTAGAAGAAAATGTAGGCCACAAAATTTCAGACATCATACACAGCAGAATTTTCACTGATACAAGGCCTAAGGCAAGAGAAACAAAGAAAAAAATGAACACGTAGGACTACATCAAACTCAAAAGCTTCTGCACAGCAAAAGAAACAACCATCAAAATGGAAAGGGAACCCACTATATGGGAGAACATAATTGCCAATGATACATCAGATAAGGGGTTAATTTCCAAATTATATAGAGTACTCATATAACTCAACAAAACGAAGACAACGCAATTTAAAAATGGGCAGAAGAGCTGACACCTCTCCAAACAGGATATACAAATGGCTAAGAAACATATGAAGAAATGCTCAACATCATGAATCATCAGAGAGATGCAAATTAAAACAACAATGAGGTATCACCTCACACCTGTCAGAATGGCCACCATCAACAAATTATCAAACATCAAGTGCTGGCGAGGTTGTGGAGAAAAGGGGATTCTAGTACACTGCTGGTGGGAATGCAGACAGGTGCAATAACTATGGAAAACACTATGGTATTACCTCAAAAAATTAAAAATTTAATTGCCTCTTGACCCAGTGATTCCACTTCTAGGAATATACCCTAAGAAGCCTGAAACACAAACCAGAAAGAATATATGTACCCCCATGTTTGTAGCAGCACTATTTACAATAGCTAAGATCTGGAAACAGCCCAAGTGTCCATCAGTAGACAAATGCATAAAAAAGCTGTGGTACACATACACAATAGAATACTATGCAGCTATAAGAAAGAAAGATCTCTTATCCTTTGAGATGACATGGAGGGATCTGGAAAGTATTATCCTAAGCAGAAAAAGACAAATATCACATGATCTAACTTATTTGTGGAATATAATGAACAAAACAAACTGATGAACAAAATAGACCCGGAGACATGGAAGTAGGGTACAGACTGACATACCTCAAAAGAGGGGGGCAGGGGAGAAGGAAGAGATAAACCACAGATCTTATATGCATGTACACATAACCAGTGGACATAGACAACAACGCTGGAGTAAGGTGAGTGGGCAGGATCGGGAGGATTGTGTCAATGGGGGAAAATGGAAAAACATCTGTAACAAAAATAAATAAATTAATAAAAACAAAGGAAAATACTTGTCAAGAGGCAAATTATGAATTTTATATGAGCTATTGCATAAGAATAAACTATATGCAACACGAACAATAAGATTATACAAAAATTAAGTATTGCCCTAGCCAGTTTGGCTCAGTGGTTAGAGCATCGGCCTGCGGTCTGGAGAGACCCAGGTTCGGTTCCCGCTAAGGGCATGTACTTCGGTTGCAGTTTGTCCCCAGCCCTGGTTGGTTGTGCGGGTGGCAGCCACTAGATGTGTCTCTTCACATCGATGTTTCTCTCTCTCTCTCCCTTCCACTCTATCTGTACAAAAAATGGAAAAATATCCTCGGGTGAGGATAAAAAAAAAAAAAAAAAAAAAAAATTAAGTATTGTTCTTCTCAAAAGTGCTTTGACTTTCCACTTAAGATGGAATAATTTTTATTACCCAAATTTTACACATAAGAAAAGCAGAGAAACAGAAAATAAACAAGTGCCCCAAAGCACATGTTCACTAGCTGTATGTAGAACCAGAGCTAAGAATCATAGCGCCAGAGATACTGAATATGAAGTCTGAAGGCTTCTGCTGCAGTGTGAGGGGCTTGAGCAGTTGTCCTGGAACAAGCCTACAATGTAGATCTAGAAGATGGAGACTCAAGTCCCAGTTATGCCTTGACCTTCCACATGACCTGAACAAGATATTTCTTCATCTGAGCCTATTGTCTGTCAAGTAAAGGGGGATAATATCCCCTACCTTATCTCTCTCCTGGCATGAACAAGAAAATCAGATGAGATTATCGATTTGAAGGTATCGTTCAGGTGTAATGTGTGATAAAATGTGAATAAAGCTTTCCCACGTACATTAACACAAAAAGGGCCATGGGACTGAGCATCTCTATCAAATCTCCACCATCACTGCTCAGTTATGGTCAGTATTAGACTGGAAATCAATGGGAGGGTCCAGAAATGCATAATTTGTTTAAATTCTCATTATTGGAAATCTTTTGCTTTGTGAATTCATTATGTGAGTATTTATCAAGCATCTAGTATGAATTCTGTTTCGGCTGTTAAGGATGTATCAATTAACAACATACAGAGGACTCAAGCTCTGGGGAAATTTGAAATATCACAGTAGAGGATTAAACAATAAATAGGTAGGCAAATTCACAATATGCTGGTTTCAATCATAATAAGTGCAATAAAGAAAATAAAAATTGGGTTATTTTATGTGAGAGGGTCGTTTTAGATACTGCTCTGAAAATACTTTCTAAGGAACTGACATTTGAGAATATGAATATCAAGAAAGAGACAAATATGTGAAAATCAGAGGGACTGGCAGCTAGGTAGACAAAAAAGCTAATGTAATGGTTCAAATACAAGTATGAATGTACAAGATCAAGTTTAGAAAGAAGGTCAGAGTCACTGATGGAAATAAGTAAGACAGACAGGATGATGTTAAAGAAGTGATGAATGCTGGGTCTTAAAAGACCTTGAAGGTCCATAAAGAGCTTTAGCTTTTATTCAAGGTGTGCTGAGAAACACCAATGGCTTTAACTGATGTGATCCATGTTACATACAAAAGAATCATTCTGGAAATGGATTGTAGGGAAGCAAGAGTGAATGTAGGAAGGCAAGGAGTGAAAGATGGGAGAAGTGAGAGCATCATTTTCAAACTCACATGGCTTTGGGTCTGCCGATTTCAAGAGGTAAATCCTTTACCACTGGCAGTGAAGGGAGCAGTCTTCTTGCTGTGTTTGGCGCCATATAGAGGAAGCATTGTGTTTGCTTGACCTTGACCTGTTTAATGGCTGCAAGATTTTGTATCACCTCATCCAGGCTAGATTGTGAACCTAGAGAGGAGTAAAGTTAGGAGAGAAGTGAGAAGCTACAACAAGCTTCCCAAAGGAATTTTGCAGGATTAAAAGCCAGGCAATGTTGCTTCTGGTGTTGCCAATGATCATGTGACCTTGGCCATAACACTGTCTGAACATGTTTTCTCTTATGCCGAACAGAGGCAATATTATAAATCCTGACTTTTTCACTGTGAAATCAAATGAAAATTGATATTTAAAAATAGTAGCCAACCTTGTATGGGCACAAACAACATGCCCAGGTATTGGTCTAATGCCACATTTGATCCTATATTGACCCTATGTTTTACATACATTTATTATCCTCATTTTTTATATGCAAGGAAGCTGAATAGTGGATAAGTTACATCACTTGCTCAAGATCACAAAGCAAGTAACCTGAAGAGGAAGGATGCCACTAGGGAGTCTGACTCTGGAGGGCGTGCTCATAACCATGGCAGTTGTCCTTGTGCCCTGGAGGTGCACAGGAGCACAAGAAGCTGTCATCCTTATTTTAGAAATAGGAGGCCCAGGGAGGGATCAGCTCCTATACCTAATCACCCTAAAGGACCCTGAAGGGGACCGCAAAACATACCCTCAGCCAACAAGAAATTGCCTTACTCGCAGTTCCTTGTTCTCACTCCATGATTTGCAATGTTTGAATTCTACTCCACTGAAGAAAGAGATGGTAGCAGCTGATATAAGGAATGAACATCAAGTTGAGTGTTTGGGGTTTGGTAGAGGGAAGTAAAAGTAATAGGAGAATGGGCCCTGATGAAAAGTAACCCAGCATTAGCTGGCCCAGCAGCCAACACACATCCCAGATTTTTACTTACTTTGGATCTGTAAATGTTGTTTCCAATTGATGACGTGTGATGTGCCAAGGAATTCTTGACAGTTCTTGGGGTCCTTGGAATAGATTTGGTAGGTGTTGGTGTAGTGATCAAAGTCATCTGTCATCTCCTGTTTGGTTGAGTAATGTGGGATAAATCAAATTGATTATAGCAAGTGATTGGAATATTTAGGTTTAGGAATTTCATTGTACTGTAATATTTCACAAACTTAAAAGTTGATTTTTTTCTTAACATAGTATCATTATCCCTGGCTCGTTTACATCATGAGACTGTGTCATGAATTTACTCAACTATTCAATTCATGATTAAGAAAAGCTAGCTGAACCAAATATTTATATGTTGCATTAAATTTCGAATCAACCAAACATGCACCTGTTTAGAAAACGTTCTTCTGTGATTTTGGAATCCTCAGGAGAAAGAAAGAAGATATTCAAAGGCAAACTTCCATTGCAATAATAAATCATACTCTATTTTAAAGAGTCTCAAAACAAATGAATTAAGAACATAACATTGAAATTGACACGGGTAACCTTGTATTAGAATTTTCACACTCATATGATAATGCTATACAAAATGAAGACACCTAAAGTCTCTGAAATGTAAACCACAATGAAATATTATTTTAGAAATAGTTTGCATTTCAAAAAAAAATTGAAATACAAAATGTATTAAAGAAGATCTTCTGGAAGTTAATGTATAAGAGATGGGATTACTGGAAAATTAAAAAAGGAGTTAGAGAACAACAACTCAATGAGGGTAGAATTTAGAAAAGTATTACATGGAAATGCACTAAATTCAGCATTAATACCACTGACAATCTGTGCTTTTAAGATCAATTCAAAAAGTAAAGCTTTTTTCCATTTAAAAATTTTAATAATTAAGTTAAATACCTTCCTTTTTTATTGTGTTTAATTTGATATTTTCTAAAAAGCACTATGCATTTAAATTTTATTTGTAGATATTTTATATTAAAATGATATTATATGCTTACATTTTTTATTGTTGACACTATTACAGATGTCCCCCATTTCTGCCCCTTTGTCCACCTCTGCCCAGTCCCTCCCCCACCTCCCAACTTCACCACACTATTCTCTGTATGCATGTGCTATGCATACATGTTCTTTGGCTAATCGCTTCACCTTCTTTTATCCAGTCCTCCTCACACTCCTCTCTTCTAAGATCTGTTAGTCTATTCCATGTATCCATGCCTCTGAATTAATTTTGTTCTTCAGTTTATTTTGTTCATCAGATTCCACAAATAAGTGAGATCATATGGTATTCATCTTTATCTGACTGGCTTATTTCACTGAGCATAATAATCTCCAGGTTCATCCATGCAATTGCTAAAGGTAAGAGTTCCTTCTTTTTTATACTCCGAACTGTTTTCCACAGTGTCTGCACCGGTCTGTATTCCACCAACAGTGCACTAGTGTTCCCTTTTCTCCACATCCTCACCAGCACTGGTTGTTTGTTGATTTATTGATGGTCACCATTCTGCAGGTGTGAGGAGATACCTCATTGTAGTTTTAATTTGCATCTCTCTGATGAATAGTGATGTTGAGCATTTTTTCTATATCTATTGGCCATCTGTGTGTCCTCTTTGAAGTGTGTCTATTCAGGTCCTTTGCCAATTTTTTTTTTATCCTCACCTGAGGACATTTTTGATATTTTGTTCAGATAGAGTGGGAGGGAGAGAGAGAAACATCGACATGAAAGGGACACATCGAGTGGTCGCCACCCACACGACCCAAACAGGGCCGGGGACAAACTGCAACCAAGGTACATGCCCTTAGCGGGATCTGAACTCGGGTCTCTCCAGACCGCAGGCCAATGCTCTAACCCCTGAGCCAAACCAGCCAGGGCTTTTTGCCCATTTTTAATTGAAATTTCTATCTCCCTGTTGTTGAGTTGTATGATTACTTTATATATTTTGGAGATTAACCCTTTATTAGATGTATCATTGTTGAATATGATCTCCCATACAGTGGTTCACTTTTCATTTTGTAGATGGTTTCTTTTGATGTGCAGAAGCTTTGTAGTTTGATGCAGTCCCATTTATTTATTTTTTTCCTGTTTCCCTTGCCGTAGGAGACTTATCAGCAAAAATATTGCTTTGTGAGATGTCCTAGAAAACATACTGCTTATGTTTTCTTTTATGATTTTGCAATTTACATTTAAGTATTTTATCCATTTTGAGTTTATTCTTGTAAATAAACTTAAATTGGTATAAGTTGGTGGTCTAGTTGTATTCTTTTGCATGTACCTGTTCAATTTTTCCAACACCATTTATTGAAGAGACTGTCTTTACTCCATTGTATGCTCTTGCCTCCTTTATTAAATATTAATTGACTGTAAAGGTGTGGATTGATTTCTGGGCTCTCTGTTCTGTTCCATTGATCTCTATGTCTGTTCTTGTGCCACTAGTAGGCTGTTTTGATTATGATGGCTTTGTTGTATGGTTTGATAACCAATATTGTGATCCCTCCAGCTTTATTCTTCTCTCTCAAGATTGCTCTGGCTATTCAAGGTCTTTTTTGGCGCCATATAAATTTTTGGAGTATTTGGTCTAGTTTCATGAAATATGTCATTGGTATTTTAATGGGGATTGTACTGAATCTATAGAATGCTTTAGGTAGTATGGACATTTTAATGATGTTCATTCTTCCGATCCATGACCACAATATATGCTTCCACTTGTTTGTATCTTTCTCCATTTCTTTCTTCAATGTCCCATAATATTCTGAGTACAGATCTTTTGCCTCTTTGGTTAAATTTATTCCTAGGTATCTTATTATAATTATTTTTGCAATAGTAAATTAGATTGTTTTCTTAGTTTCTCTTCCTGATAGTTCATTTTTGATGTGTAAAAATGCCACTGATTTCTGGATATTATTTTGTATTGTGCTACTTTCCTGAATTTATTTATTAGGTCTAAATAGTTTTTTGGTGGAGTCTTCATGGTTTTCTATGTACAGTAACATGCTATCGGCAAATAATAACAGTTTTACTTCCTCCTTTCAAATTTGATGTATTTTTTTTTTTATCTTTATTGTTGAATGCATTACAGATGTTCCTAATTTTTCCCCCACTGACCCCCTCCTCCGCACTCGCACCCTCCTCCCGCCTTTTCCCACACTGTTGTCTGTGTCATTTGGTTATACATATAAGTTCTTTTGTTTATTTCTTCCCACCCCCCCAACCTCCTTCTCTTTGAGGTTTGTCAGTCTAGCAATTTATTCTTCTTAATCCCTTCACCTTTTTCACCCATTCCCCCAACCCCCCTCCCATCTGGCAACCAACAAAATGTTCTCTGTATCTATGAGAATGTTTCTGTTCTGCCTGTTTATTTTGTAGATTCCATTGCCAATAGATATGCATTCATTGCCATTTTGATTGTTCATTTATTTTATCTTTTTCTTCAAGAAGACCCTTCAACATTTCATATAATAACGGTTTGGTGGTGATGAACTCCTTTAACTTTTTCCTGTCTGGGAAACTCTTTATATGGCCATCAATTCTAAATGACAGCTTTGCAGGATAGAGTAATCTTGGTTGTAGGTTCTTGCTTTTCATCACTCTAAATATTTCTTGCCACTCTCTTCTGGCCTGCAAAGTTTCTTTTGAGAAATCAACTGACAGTCTTATGGGAACTCCCTTGTAAGTGACTAACTGCTTTTCTCTTGCTGCTTTTAACATTCTCTCTTTGTCTTGAACCTTTTGTATTTTGATGATGATGTGTCTTGGTGTGGGCCTCTTGGGGTTCATCTTGTTTGGAACTCTTTGTGCTTCCTGGACTTGTATGTCTGTTTCCTTCACCAAGTTAGGGAAGTTTCCTGCCATTATTGTTTCAAATAGGTTTTTGATGTTTTTTTCTCTCTCTTTTCTTTCTGGTACCCGTAAGATGCAAATGTTGGCATGCTTGCAGTTGTCCCAGAGGCTCCTTACACTATCCTAATTTTTTTGGATTCTTTTTTCTTTTTGCTGTTCTGATTGGGTGTTTTTTGCTTCCTTGTGTTCCAAATCAATGGTTTGCTTCTTGGCTTTACCTACTCTACTATTGAATATGTGTAAATTATTCTTTATTTCAGCTAGTGCCTCCTTCATTTCTGACTATGCCTCCTTCATTTCTGACTGGTCTTTTCTAATGCTCTTGAGGCCCTCACTAAGTTCATTGAGCATCCTTATAAAAAGTATTTTGAACTCAGCATCTGTTAGGTTGCTTATCTCCATTTTGCTTAGTTCTTTTCCTGGAGTTTTGTTCTGTTCTTTCATTTTGGACCTCTTTCTTTGTCTCCTCATTTTGGCTGCCTCTCTGTGTTTGTTTCTGTGTATTACTTAACGAGAGATATGGGGCTATCTGAGACCAGATGCTGCTTGTTTGAAAGAATTTAGGAAATCCTGAAGCAGGATCCAAGACAGGCCAATTCTATGGTTAAACATCTGGCAACAGCTTGGGTGGGCCTGAAAGTTGGGTGGGGCAGGGCCTCAGGGAATCATCAGGGCAGGGCAACCAGTGTGAGCCAGCTTGCTGGAGTCCACAATATGGTGACTGTCTGCCACCCCAGGGAAGGGCTCACCAAAGGAACAAAGGCCTCCAACAGCATATCTGTCCTGGAGAAGGCCGCCTCCCCAGCCCTTGCTCCAATGCCAAACAGCTCAGTTCTTCCCTGTATGTCTCCAGTGCCCCTCGAGCTGCCTACCTTCCAAGCCTAGAGGGAGCAAGTCCGAGTAAGTCTGTGTGCGGGCACTTTAAGAGGAGCTGCCTGGGGCTCCAGCCACCTCAGCCTTCCTAAGCCTCAGTTCCCGTTGGTGTTTCCAGCCAGAAGTGATGAGGACTTCTCTTCCTGGCACTGGAACCCTGAGCGGAATGCCTGGTGTGAGACGGGGACCCCTCAGTCCCCAGAGAGGACCCTCCCAGTCGAGGTGTCCCTCCTGATTTTTATCTGCCACACGTGGGTGTGGGACCAGCCTGCAGCCTCCGCCCCTCCTACCAGTCTTGATGCAGCTGTTTCTTTAATTCTGTAGTTGTAGGACTTCCATTCAGCTGGATTTCAGGCAGTTTTGAATGATGGTTGTTCTGTAGTTTAGATGTAACTTTGATGTGGTTGTGGGAGGACGCGATACCACATTTACCTATGCCGCCATCTTGACCGGAAGTCTCTGATGTTTTTTATTTCTTCTTATCTGATCATTGTGGCTAAGACTTGCAGTACTGTGTTGAATAAGTGTGGCAAAAGCACACATCCCTGTTTTGTTCCTGATCTTAAGGGAAACACTTAGTTTTTGCCCATTGAGTATGATGTTGGCTGTAGGTTTTTCATATATGCCTTTATTATGTTAAGGCATGATCTCTCTATTCCCACTTTGCTGAGTTTTTATCATAAAGAGTTCTGGAATTTATTGAATGCCTTTTCTGCATTTATTGATATGATAGTGTGATTTTTAATCTTTAACTTTGTTTATAAGATGTATCACATTTACTGATTTGCAAATATTGTACCAACCTTACATGCCACTTGGTCATGGTGTATGATCTTTTCCAATGTATTGATGAATCCAATTTGCTAGTATTTTGTTGAGGATTTTACCATCTAGGTTCATCAGGGATGTTGGCCTACAGTTTTCCTTCTTTATAATGTCTTTACTTGGTTTTGGAATTAGGATAATGCTGGCCTTGTAAAAAGAGCTTAGAAGTCTTCCCTCCTGTTGAGTTTTGAGTAATAGTTTGAGGAAGATAGGTGTTAGTTCTTCTTTGAATGTTTGGTAAAATTTGCCTGTGAAACCATCTGGTCCAAAACTTTTGTTTGCTGGGAGGTTTTTTGTGTTTGTTTTTTGTTTTTGTTTTTTAGTATGATGTTAGCTGTAAAATTGTCATATATGAGTTCGAGTGATTTTTAACAGTATAGTTTTGAAAATATGCTCCCAAATGCAGGCATTGCAATTTGTTTTTTATATTTCCCTAATATTCTTCATATTTTACTTTACATATTTTTAGGTTATTCTCTCTACTTTGAAAGCAACCTCTATTCTTGTCAACCCGTCAAAATCTATTTACCTTCAAAATTCAGTTTGGCTGAAATGTTAACCAGGAAAGCACTCTGATCCTTTCCCTGCACACCTTGACATCTATAGCCTTAATCATTTTTTGGTAAGTGCTACTTCTGTCACTTGTATGTTCTTGAATGTTGTCATGCATTTTCACACCATGTTGTAATTTACTTGCTTATCTACCTTTTCCTCCAGGCTGTGTGTTCTTGTTCACCATCACTGAGATTCACTTCTGTATCTTCGATATCTACACTGCCAGGTGCATGGTAGACACATAGAGCAAATAGAAGAACATGCATTCCACATCTGGCATCTTACCTGCTCCTGGGGGCGAACAACCACTGTGTTAAAATCAGGCCACTTGTCCACCAGGGCCTTTAGCTTGAACGGGTTTCCCTGGTTCATGTGGAAGATGGTCCCATACACCTGTAGCATCCCGAGAAAATGAGACGGTCAACTTGTTAGGAAGAGATGGCCAAGTGCCCTGTTTGATCAGGATAAAATTATTTCTATGAAATTCAGGTAAGTAACTGATTTTCTTATTAGTTCAAACAGTCTTCAGGTCTTACTTTATTACTGCAATCAAAAGAGATTTTTGGGTCAAACCATGAGACTATTATATGAATATAGTTAAATATCCAGATAAATAAAATAAAATAAAAACTAAAAATTATTCACTATCACATTGTAGAATTTGCTGACATATCTTTCTATTTTTTCCCACTTATTTACCTAGTCACACACATTTTTAAATAACAAAATAATCTAATATATATTTGTTTAACATCTATCCCCCTGCACACATACATGCACACACTATACAATGATCATATTTTCGTGTCAATAAACACAAATCTACCTAATCACTTTTAATGACTGCATAATATCCATTATATGGAAGAATTCTAATTTAAGTGTGTTTTAATTTTTAGTTTAATGATTTATTCTTCAAGGAACATTTATTTTGAAAAAAGAAAATCTTTGCAAATATGCTTGTTATGACAATTTTTTAAAAATCCTCACCCAATGATATATTTTTGTTGAGTTTTAGAGAGAGAAGAGAGAAACATCCATTGAGAGAGAAACATCGGTTGGTTGTCTCCATTACATGCCATGACCTGGGGTCTAACCCACAGCATAGGTAAGTGCCCTGATCAGGAGTTAAACCCACAAACTTTTGGTGTATGGGATGCTAATTCAACCTACTGACCCACCTGGCAAAGGCTGTTATAAATTTTGAAGAGGAATTTCTGGGTCAAAGTTCTCTTGTTCGAAACTGCACAATATAAATATTAAATGTAGTTTTAGAAAAAATAAGCCGGTTAAATATTTTTAACATTGGAGTTAGAGACCCATGACATTCGTATACACTCAGTTTAAAACAACTAAAATCACTCTTATCTCTGCACATGGTAGTATCACAAAACCAGGTTCTATTGTATGAATGTCAGCTAGTTCAAGTTGGCTCATAGTATTATTCAGCTCTTCTATATCCTTACAGGTTTTTGTTTATTCTAAAAATTATTCTGAAAGTAATGTTGAAGTCTTTCATTATACCTATGGTTTACCTATTTCTTCTTTCAGTTTCATCAGTTTTTACTTCATGTACATTGAGCCTCTATTGTTAGGTGTATATATTTTAGCTTTTTTTTTTTTTTTTTGTCTTTTTGGCAAATTGATACCTTAATCATAATGCAATGGCACATTTTATTTATCTCTGGTAATATCCTACTCCCTTTGCAACATATATTGTTGCAAAATAATAAAACACAAATAAAAAAAACAAACAAACCAAAAACCTCTCTATGGTAAATGGATCATTGATCCGTTTCTAACTACATTTCTGTCTCACCCCAAATTAAACATAATTCATTGGGATTTGACAAAATAGAAATTGACCTGTTATTAATTTCCAAGTGGAATCATAATGGTTAACCTTTCATCAATCACTTGATTATTTAGGAAGAATAATTTAAACATTAATGTGTTAGTTACAGTCAACTTTGTAATTATGGAAAAACTTTCATTGCTATCTGACATAATTCTTAAAAGGGCACAAGGGAATGATTGAGGGTCATCACACAGCAAAGATCATAGTGGGTTCAAATCATAGCATTGCCACTCACTACTGGTGTGATCTTGGTCAACCAGACAACTGAGCCTCCAGTTCCTCTTTGGTTACATGGATACAATATCCCTGCTTTACATCAAGTTGATACTAAGTAAATGAGATGGAAGATGAATGAGTGCCTGGTACAGAACAGGTGTTCAGTGAATGGTAATTCTTGTTCCCACCGTTTTCATAGGCAGTTGCTATGCCTATTTTTGCTGAAAAGGTTCCACTCTCACCTTTAAGGACTCAGGGAGAAACTTTCTCAAGGATTTCTCCAGTATCTGCAGCATTTGTGGGCCTTGTAATTGGAACATCTTGGCAGGTACCTGAGCCTAAAGAGAGGATCAAGAAGCATCAAGGAATGAGAAGTGCTGGAAGACATACAGTGACACAAAACAGACACGGTAGGGAGTTGTAGCTAATGGTCTAGCCTTTATCGCAGCCATTTTATTGGGACCCCTTTCATGAAACTCCTCACTAACTTCAAGGAAGAATAAGTCTGGCAGAAAGCACAGGTGCCTCTTTCTAAAATTATTTTTTAATGTTTTTCAAACTTTTAAAAATATTTCTCAAATTTTCATTTTGATTTTTACATCATCCAGAATTCTAATAACTAGGGTTTTACAGAAATTAACAAATGTATTCTCTAAGCATGAATGAGCATCCTTTGAGATTAAGTTTCCATTTGTGACAAGCTCATTTTGACAATTAGAAACTACATGACATTGGAAAAGTTACTGAACTCCTCTATGCCCTGGTTTTCTCCTCTATAGATGACAACGACTATGGTACCTGTCCCGTAGAGTAGTTGAACAATTAAATAAACCAATGCATGTAAGGTTCTTAGAACAGTATCTGGAACACAGTAAACACTCAATTAATTATTATGATTATTATTATCCTTTTTATTATTAGTAGTAAAAGCAACAATTAACCACACTGTCATCCAAAAAGTTTTTTGAGCCCAGCCAGTGTGGCTCAGTGGTTGAGTGTTGACCCAAGCACCAAGAGGTCACTAGTTCAATTCCCAGTCAGAGCATATGCCCAGGGCTTGATCCCCAGTGGGGGGCATGCAGGAAGCGGCCAATTGATGTTCTCCCTCATCAAGGTTTCTAGCTCTCTCTCTCTCTTTCTTTCTCTCTAACATCAATAAAGAAAAACAATTTTTTTTTAATCCTTTGAATGACTCTTATGCTGCCCAAGAATTTGTGGTGAGAATTGTAAATATAAATGGGGGAGAATCCATGGAATGTGACACACGGTAAATGAGACAATTTTAAGTCTTTACAGAGTACCTGACGTGGAGTGGTGCTCAGTGTGTGCCAGATATTGTTATTATCTTATCCCTTTAGCTTAAGTAAAGCATATATTTTCTTGCTTCAAAAGTCAAAAAATAAAAGAAATGGAAAAAAATATTTTTCTAAGAGTCTTTATATAGGAGACAAATAAGTGATGTAATGAAACATTTTCCAAATTTGACCCTGCGTTATAGAGCCTGAAAAATTTATAAGGTTATTTAATCCTGCTCCTGGTATTTTCTTATGTAGAAGGTCTTGAGGGAATTCGAGCTCTAGATTTATATTTTTTTTCCAAATTTATTAATTTATTTTTATTACAGATGTTTTTCCTTTCCCCCACTTAGACACCCTCATCCCCATCCTCCCGCCTCACCCAACTAGCGTTGTTGTTTATGTCCATTGGTTATGCATACATGCATTTAAGTTCTTTGGTTCATCTCATCCATCCTCCCAATCCCCTCTACTTTGAGGTTTGTCAGTCTGAACCATACTCCTTTCTATGTCTCTGGATCTATTTCATTCATTGGCCCACCTTGTTCATTATATTCCACCAATAGGTGAAATCATGTGATATTTGTCTTTCTCTGACTGGCTTATTTCGCTTAGCATAATACTCTTGAGGTCCCTCTTTGTTGTCTCAAAGGATAAGAGATCTTTCTTTCTTACAGCTGCATAGTATTCCATTGTGTCTATGTACCACAGCTTTTTAATCCACTCATCTATTGATAGATACTCAGGCTGTTTCCAGATCTTAGCGATTGAAAATAGTGCTGCTATGAACCTAGGAATACATATATTCTTTCTGATTGGTATTTTAGGCTTCTTAGGATATATTCCTAGAAGTGGGATCACTGGGTCAAATGGAAGTTCAGTTTTTAATTTTTTGAGAAAGCACCATATTGTTTTCCATAGTGGCTGCACCAGTCTGCATTCCCAACAGCAGTGTACTAGAGTCCCCTTTTCTCCACACCCTCACCAAAACTTGTTTTATGATTTGCTGATGGCAGCCATCTGGCAGGTGCGAGATGATATCTCATAGTTGTTTTAATTTGCATCTCTCTGATGATTAGTGACATTGAGCATTTCTTCATATGTCTGTCTCTTGGCCATTTGTATGTTCTTTTTGGAGAGGTGTTTATTTAGATCCTCTGCTCATTTTTAAATTGGGTTCTTTGTCTTCCTTTTGTTGAGTTGTATGAGCACTCTATGTATTTAGAAATTAACCCCTTATCTGATGTATCATTGGCAATTATGCTCTCCCATATAGTGGGTTCCCTTTCCATTTTGATGGTTATTTCTTTTGCTGTGCAGAAGCTTTTTAGTTAGATGTATATGCCTGTTCTTAGGCCAGCACCAGACTGTTTTGATTACAGTAGCTTTGTAGTATAACCTGATATCTGGTACTGTGATCCCATCTATTTTGTCCTTCTATTTCAAGATTGCTGTGGTTATTCAGGGTCCTTTTTGGTTCCATATGAACTTTTGAAGTATTTGTTCTAGTTCTGTGAAATATGTTGTTGGTATTTTGATGGGGATTGCATTGAATCTATAGATTGCTTTGGGTAGTATGGGCATTTTAATGATGTTATTTTTTCCAATCCATGAACAAAGTATGTGCTTCCACTTTTTTATATCTTCCTCTATTTCTTTTTTTAATGTCCTGTAGTTTTCTGCAAATAGGTCCTTTACTTCTTTGGTTAAGTTTATTCCTAGGTACAGTTGGCCCTCATTTATTGCAGTTAATCAGTTCCAGACACTACTGCAATAAATGAATTCCACATAGTAGGATTATTTATTTATATACAGTTGTCCCTCTCCACTTCGTGATAGAGTGAAGCTACAAAAGTCGAAGCACGAAGTGGCAAGGAGAAACTGTTATCTTAATTTTTTTGCTGCGGTGGTAAATAGGATGGATTGTTCTTTTAGCTTCTCTTTCTTTGAGTTCATCATTGGTGTATAAGAATGCTGTCAATTTCTTGTTGGTAATTTTGTATCTGCTACTTTGCCAAATTCATTTATTAAGTCCAAGTGTCCATCAGTAGACGAATGGATAAAAAAGCTGTGGTACATATACACAATGGAGTACTATGCAGCGGTAAGAAAGAAAGATCTCTTATCCTTTGAGACGACATGGAGGGACCTGGAAAGTATTATCCTAAGTGGAAGAAGCCAAGCAGAAAAAGACAAATACCACATGATCTCACTTATATATGGAATATAATGAACATAACAGTCTGAGGAATACAGTAGACCCAGAAACATGGAAGTAGGGCACAGACTGACATCCCTCAGAAGAGGGGGTGGGGGGGTGGGAGGGTGGGAAGAGATAAACCACAGAACTTATATGCATGTATGTATGACCAATGGACATGGATAACTAAGCCAGGGCGGGGCGGAGGTGGGGTGAGGTGGGGGGTGCCAATGGGGTAAAAAAGGTAAAATATCTGTAACAAAAAAATAAATAAAAAATTTATAAAAAATAAAATAAATAAAGAAATATAAATAATAAAAAAAATATAAATAAATAAATAAAAAAGTGCCTTTGGGGCTAGTTCAAATTGTTGCACATATCAAAATTTCAATTCTTTTTATTGTTGAATAGCATTCCATGGTAAGGTTCTCCCAGAGTTTATTTACCTACTCACCTCTTGGAATACATTTGGGTTGTTTCTAGTGTTTGATGATTATGAGTAAAGCTGCTGTAAACATTTATGTAAAGGCATAGAAGTGCACTTGCATGGCCACATAGTAAGTATATGTTGAGATTCATGAGAAACAACCCATGTTTTCCCAAAGTGGCTGCACTAGTTTATGTCCCATAGCAGTGGAGGAGTGTTCCATGTGCATCACATCCTCCCCAACACTTCTCCAGAAGATTCTTTCCTGCAGCCATGTTCAGAATCATTGTACAGTAGTTAAAATCCTCAAAAATACCCTTCAAATCAGTAAAGCAAGACAACTTGTAGAACTAGTTCTCAAAGCAAGCCAAAAGGCTGAGGTCAAAGTGTATTTGACTAGATGCCATTCTCTGGTGGAAGGACAGGACAATGTTGAATTTTACTCAAGTCCTGTCATCCTGGAAAATGTGAATCATTAAAGAAATTCTTCCACTGACTTTATGATCCTGAAATGGCTCACTGTAGACAACTAGACTTCCCCATCTGACTTAAGACACATGAATGTCCTTCTTGTTAACCTCTGAAAAAAAACAACTGCTGACACTCCAAATTCCCAAACTTCATCTCATGGAATGATTAACTAAACTGTGCATCTCCACTGACATTTCAGAACAAATTGCTTGTTAACCAAACTTGAGTTAAGTTTCTCTCCTTCCCCTGGGTTGAGTCAGCATATACCTCCTTCTTCATCCCTGCAAGAAGAGGCGGAACTCAGGGTAAAACATTCTCTGAGCTGTACCCATCCCTCCTCTCTTTCATGTCTCCCCATCCCCTTTCAGGACTCTCTCTACCCATGTTTACTCTTCCCTCATAAATTGTTAACTTGAGTGCTTACCACCACTGATCCACCAGAACAACATTTTGATATGTTAAAGTGTTAGTGGACTTGACCAAACTTTAAGCTTCTCTCCTCTGCACAGGACTGAGCTTTGATCTACACTCAGCCTGGGCCCACATTGGCAGGGGAAAGCCATCATTGGCAGAAAGGTAGTCTTCCTTTCTTGCTTACTCCTCTTTATAAAAGAATAGTCATTTCTTCATAGTCTTTCAGATAGTCTGAGACTCTCCCTAAATATCATTCTATTCATTTATTCATTCATCAATAAATGTTGATTGAGAACTTTTTTATTGAATTTATTGGGTTTACATTGGTCAATATAATTATATAGGTTTCAAGTGTACATTTCTGCAATACATCATCTGCATGTTGCATTATATGTTCACCACCCAAAGTCTACTCTCCTTCCATCACCATTTATCTATAACCTTTTACCCTCTTCCACTTGCCCACAGGCCCCTTCTCTCTAGTAATTACCATACTGTTGATTGAGAACTTCA